TGAGGTATGTGCCCTTGACTGGAATTGAACCCACGAGTCATTGGTTCACGGGTCAATGCTCTCATCACTAAGCCAAACTGGCCAGGGCACTATCCTCATTTAAAATGTTTCTTTTTTCTGCTCTGATTGGGTGTTTTCTGCTACCTTATTTTCCAAATTGCTTATTTGCTCCTCTGCTTCATCTAACCTACTGTTTATTCCTTCTAATGTATTCTTCATCTCAAATATTGTATTCTGCATTTCTGAATGGTTCTTTTTCATGGTTTCTATGTCCCTTTTCATACTGTTGGAATTCTAAGTTCCTTTAGCATTCTTATTGCCATTTTTTAGAAATCTACATCTGATACATTGCTCATTTCCATTTTATTTAGCTCTTTGGAGATTTCTCCTGTTGTTTCATTTGGGGCATGTTTCCTTGTCTCCCCTCTTTGTGTTTGTTTCTATGTGTTAAAAAGATATGCTATGACTCCAAGTCTTGGTAGAGTGGCCTCAAATAATAGGTGTCTTGTAGGACCCAGTGGTGAAATCTCTTTGATCGCCTGAGCTGGATGCTCCAGGAATGTCTCTTATGTGGGTTATGTGGGCCCTCCTGCTGCAGTTGAATCTTGATTGCTAATGGCCTGTATGTACATGGGATCAACCCTCAGGCTTGCTGACTGTGAGTATCAACCCCAACCACAGTGTTCAAACTGCTTGCAGGTGCTTACCACACAAAGCAGAATTAGCTTCAGCATGGTCTGGTGCCTGCCGAGATCTCCCTTTGGATATGCCACTTGTGAAGCTTAATGGATCCTACTCTGTTGTTTTCTTAAACTGGCCACTGTGTGTGTTGGTTCTGGGTTCTCTCAAGAGGGACTCTGGTTCAGGTCAATATCAGACACTGCTTGTGACTGGCCCTGGGCAACCTGTTTGGAGCTACAAAGTGATCCACATTTTGTGGCTGCCTCTGCTGGGCCTGGATGTGCAGGGAAAGGACCAAGCTGTGTACTAAAGCCTGCTTTGATCAGCAGTGGGCCTTGGAGCAAATCTTCAAAAGTCCCAAGGCACCCTGAGATCTGCCTCTGCCTACCTCCACCTGCTGGATGCTTGTTAGGTTCAGTCACTTAAAAAACCTCTGTGGGGACCTGACCAGTTTGGCTCAGCAATTAGAGTGTTGACCCACAGATCAAAGAGTCATGGGTTCGATTCCGATCAAGGGCATGTACCTCGGTTGCATTTCGGTCCCTGGTCCTGGTTGGGGCTGTGCAGGAGGGAACCAGTCAATGTGTCTCTCTCGCATCGATGTTTCTCTCTCTCTCCCCACCCTGCCTCCACTCTGTCTCAAGATAAATGGGAAAAAAATATCCTCAGGTGAAGATTTTTTTTAAAAGCCTCTGTCCGTGCTCAGGTTGCATGAGGTAGGTTCTCAGTGAATCACCACATAGGAAAGAGTGGTGTTAACCACATTGATACAAGTTCAAACTTGGTGCCAGTTCTGGGTCTGAGGTCACTCAGTAAATGTCCCATGGTGTACACAGTCAAGCTGCCACCTGCTGGGTGCTTGCACACCTTTGTGGTGGGGCAGAATCTCAAGGAGCCCTTAGGTGAGGCCAGCAGAGTTTATTAGGCTCCAACAGACTGAGATTTGGCCGTGTGAACAGAGGGCTCTGCACTGCTCGAATGTGTGAGGGAAAAACAGCCCCCATTTTAGAGCCACCTAACTCATTTTGTCCCAGATTCTGCCAAGAGACTGATCTCAGCAGGGTGGGGCTGCTGGGAGATGGGGCTAGTGGAGCTCCCTCAAGAGAGAGGTGCAGGTCAGGCTGGAGGGAAGCTTGGGGGACTGGTCCCTACCCCAGAGCCACACAATGCAGTCTGTCCCCAATTCTGTCCAGACCTCAGCAGGGCAGGGCCACCAGAAGTGGGGACTGTGGAATCACCGCAAGCCTGGATAGCGGGGCTAGCAGATCTCTCATGAGGAGGAGACACCAGTCAGGTTCACGGGAAAGTGGGGGAAATGGCTCCCACTCCAGAGCCACGCAGCTCAGTGACTGACACCCTCTGAGTCCACCCAGACCTTTACACCACAGGCCAGGCAGCTGAGTCCTCAGCAGGGCACAATCTCCACAGGATGGGGTGAGAGGAAGTCTAGAGGGTAGGGCTCTTGCTTTCCTCCAGGCTGATGCTGTATGGAGAGGGGTGCTACACCCAAAAAAGATGGCTTCTGCAGTATGGGGGATGCCTCAGCATAGGCATCCTGGCAGCTGGCCCTTCAGGTCTCTCCCCAGAGCCGAAACTCCCAGTCTCTCCTCACAAGACTAGTCCACTCTGCCCTTCCTCCACTGGAGCCCAGGGTGAGAGGCTGCATAGAAGATGTTATGTGTGGCCCTTTAAGAAGGCATCTGTGTGCCCTGGCCGGTTTGGCTCAGCGATTAGAGCATTGGCCTGTGGACCAAGGAGTCACGGGTTTGAATTCCAGTCAAGGGCATGTATCTTGATTGTGGTTTGTCCCCGGCCCTGGCTGGGGTCGTGCGGGAGTCAGCCACTCGATGTGTCCTTTTCACGTCCATGTTTTTTTTTTTTCTTCTCTCCTTCTCCCTCCCACTCTCTCTCTCTTCCTCCCACTCTATCTGAACAAAAATGAAAATATATCCTCCAGTGAGGATTAAAAAAAAGAAGACGACAACACCTGTATCTCTAGCAGACTCCCATCTCTCCATGGAGGACAGAATCCCCACTGAGTTTTAACAGCCAGATGTCATGTGGGCACCTCTTCTCAGCTCTGGTGCTCGGGGCTGGGGAACCTGGTTTGGGGTTGAGACCCCGTACTTCGTAGGGGGAACCCCTGCAGCTGAGATATCTCCAGAACCTCAGGCACTGCATGTGGGAGCCAAGCCAGCCCTTTTCAAATCTCTGTTCTTCCTACCAGTCTCAACGTGGCTTCTGCAAATCCTTAGTTATAAACTTCTCTTCAGCTGGTCTTCGGCTGGTTATTCTGGTTGCTTGCTCTATACTTCTGTCGTGGTCCAGTCTGGTCCTGGGAGGAGGTGAGTGCAAGCCCACCCGCTGTGCCCACGGATCCCCGAGGCTAGTGCGGCCCAGCTGGTGCAGGTGCGGGAGCGCCCGCCTGGAGCCCCGCAGCACGGCTCTCCTGGTCGCGGTGCGAACGGGCTGCAGGGGAACATCATTTTTAAAAGACTCTGCAGTTAGTGTTCTATAGTGTTTCTGAGAAAAATTATTTATGATTTCAGTTATATGATTAGTTCAAAACCTTATTAGCCTCAGCTTGGTTGCAGGTATCATGACTTTTTAAAATTCTGTATTAAAAACCTAACTTCTCATGTATTTTCCCGACATTTAGCACCAATTATTTTTCTTTCTTGACCCACAATTTGTAATGCTTGTTTCCATAGCAACAGTGAAACAATTACTAGGCTAAGGCCTATATAATAACTAATTTTATTAGGACCCCCAAAATAAAATAAACTAATATATCCTGAGTGATTCTAGAAGGTAAATACTGAAGAATTTTATCAGTTACTACAGAACCAACCAGTAACAACCAGTCTGATTCATGGAGATGACTTAAGTAAAATATCTGTTTAATCACGTCACCCTTTTATGTTATGATTACAACTACTTAGAAATAACTATTACAGGGCTTTTTTAAAAATTATTTTCTTTATTGATTTAAGAGAGAGAGGAAGGGAGAGGGAGAGAGAGAATAGAAACATCGATCAGAGAGAACATCGATTGGCTGCCTCCTACATTGATCCCCACTGGGGATTTGACCCACAACTTGGGCATGTGCCCTGACCGGGAACTAAACCAGTGACCTCTTGGTACATGGGTTGACACTCAACCAGTGAGCCACACTGGCCGGGCTACAGTGCTTATTTTATGAAAACATAAGGTGATTCCGTAATGCATCCACATTTTCCAAAATCTGCCCAGGTCACCCCTAAAATGAAATGCCTCTCATTTAGTCCCCATAAGAAAGATAAGAATATGAAAGTGAAAAACAACAGGAAGAGAATGGAAATTCTCCTTGCTTTCTTTTTCAGGAGTCTGAGACTCTGGTCAGAAAAGAAAAGTTACCTCAGATTACATCTAAACTCTTCCCTTAGCCTCTGGCAGCAAATCTGACAATCTTCTGGACAGTGCACCTGAAGACTGTCCAACGGTTTTCAAAGACCGACGCGTTGCGTACTCTGAGGCAAAATGCTCAGGGTTACTTCATCTGTATCATTACACCTTTTTGATTCTCCTAGAACCTTCTGCACCCAATCAAATTATTCCCAAATGAATGTACCCAGAGAACTTTCCCCATCTGGACCCCTCTTGTTTACTATGCTATCTTTTCTTAAGTTCCTTTCACTCTTCTTTCTCATAATTCCCCCCAGACTAAGCCTTCTGTTTTGTACCCATCCACCAGACAGATTCTTCTCTTCAAATCCCTGCCGAGTAACTGCATTCTCTCACAGTAATTGAATGATTCACTTCCCGCTCACTTGAACCAGGAGGAGAAGCCTCTGAGTAGGGCAAGTGCCAGGATGGAGCCTGGGGTGGCAGTGGCCTCTGCGGGATCGACACAGCTCTCCAGGACACACGAGGCAAAAGCCGGTGCTGAGGAGAACGCCGGTCACATGAAGGTAGCTTTGCGCCTGCTCCTACTCTCCACGTCTTAGGACATCACTGAACATCGCCCGCCCCACCCCCAGCCTGGACCAGTGTCTTCCTAGTATTCTCCGAGTGCAGAGGCTTCCCCTCTCCCTTATTCTGTCCGGCCTGGACCTGGGCTCTTCTGGAAGAGGGTCAGAAATGCTCAGAGCTGTCCACCCGCAGTGCTCGGCCCACCGTGGTCCCGCTCTCTGTCTCCTTCCAGGAAGGCCTCCTGCCAGAGGAGAGAGCAGGTACCCCCACTCCCAGCTTTCTGTAGTCTCATCCCACTGCTTCACCACTTCTACGACCCTCCTCGCACCCCTCCCTCCGGCTGCTGATATAGGGAACCGGTTCATTACCTGAGCCCAGCGGTGACAGCAGGGGCCACGCTGACCTACTCTGAGCCTGGAAAGCTCTGCTACATGCTTTTTGTGGGTGTCTCATCACACCCTCACTGTAACCCTACGCGGTCACCGGCACCCAGTACACAGGAAGGAGAACTTCATAGGCTCAGGGAGGTTGAGCTCCAATCAGAGTTGATGATAAAGCCAAGCTGGACACCCAGTTTCAGCTGGCTTTAAAACCAGGGATGGAGACAGCCTCTCGGAACAACCTGGCTGCCGCGGGAAAACACAAAGGCTTTGGGACCCAAGGCCCCACGTCCGAATCCAGCTCCACTGCCTCCTGTGTGAACTCGGGCGTGCTCTTCAGCATTTTGGTTCTGTGTCTTCACCCAACAAAACTGAAGGTGGAAGGAGAACATGGAGATCAAGGGCGGCGCACACACACGTGAGCTGCCCTCCAGCAGCCGCTGTGAACTGGTCCGGGGAGGCCACTCCTCTCCCACCACGTGGCAATGCGTGGTGACCGAGCGGTCCCATCCCTGCTGAGGCGGGAGCCAGACAGGCTTCCCAGGTCTAGGGAAAGTACTCTTCCTGTACACAGGGCAGCCTGTCTCCCTGGAGATGAGAGAGAGGAACACGAGCGCCGAGGACAGGCACTGAAGCCGGAGTCCACCCAGCCTCAGCACAGCGAGCTGCGGAAGGCCACGGGTGGGATGCCGGTGAAGAGTACCGTTCTGCTGGCTGTGAGCTAGTGATGAAAAAGAAAGAGATGGGCTCTGGTCACGTCTAAGACGAAGAAAAAGAAGGGTTTTGATGATTAATTCCCTGGTTTCTGAAAATCCTCCTAAACCTCCTCAAAGGATCAAATGATCAAGGAATTACCCACTCCTGCAGGGGCAGGGAGAGGGTCTCTCCAGGGGTGTTTTCTTTAAACTTTTCAAATATTTTATTTTCTTACCAAGCTTCTTTCCTCTCTGGAATAGTGTAAGACTTACACTAAACTGTAACTCACAAATCGCATGGCATAAAGTACACGAGAAAGGAGCGTCGGCAGGCGGGCGGAGGGAGCGGCTGTCTGAGGAACGCAGGGTGTCTGCCCTGGAGGGTCAGAGCCGTGTGCAAACCTCCTGCTGCCTCACATGGTACTTTGCTCCTTAACTGCTGCCTTCAGAGCCTGTGTTGGATGGTTTGTTTGGGGCCTCAGATTTATTACCATTTTAAGGTAAGAAAAAAGAAAGGCAAGCGGGAAACCATTCTGGACATCAGAGAATAATGAGTCCCTGGGAGTGGGAGAGGGCGCTGAGGTCTCACTGCAGTACAATGAGCGCCAGGAAGTGGAACGCTAAAGCATTCAAGTCTAGGACTAACAAAATAAGAATGTTCACATAGCTCAATTACCAGGGGACTCGGCAGGAAACAGCATGTAAGCGAGCAACATGTTGAAAACATCTAGCCAGAGCTTTTTAGAACATGTGCCCAGTTTGCTCTTGGCCTCCTTAACAGTAGCACTTCTAAACTGAGTGGGTGGGTGAGTGAGCGATTCTGCCCCGGGGGACATCCAGCAATGTGCGCAGATGTTTTGGTTGTCACAACTAGAGGGCTGCTACTGAGCGGAGCCAGAGGTGCTGCCAGACATCCTACGACCCAAAGGGCAGGCCCACGATATAGAAGCATCTGGTCTGCAATGTCAGTAGCCGGGGGTGAGACCTCAGTTCCAGAGACAGCGAGGGAATCCTGAGTCCCTGGTTCTTAGACCCACGCCTGGTTTGTTTCATTCTGGTTTTATTTTTTTGTTCAGATAGAGTGGGAGGGAGAGAGAGAGAGAGAAACATCGATGTGAAAGGGACACATCGAGTGGTTGCCACCCGCACGACCCAACCGGGGCCGGGCACAAACTGCAACCGAGGTACGTGCCCTTAGCGGGAACCGAACCCGGGTCTCTCTGGACCGAAGGCTGACGCTCTAACCACTGAGCAAAACTGGCCGGGGCTGAAAATCTGGTTTTAAAGCAGCCGAGGGAATCCCAGACTTCAGCTGGAGGCCACAGGAAACATTTCAAAGCTTATTATTTCCTGTGGTCTCCAGATGAAAAATCGTCCCATTAGCCTTAGATTCCTTCTCGGTAAAAAAGGAAAAAAATAGATTTCCATACAGCATCAGAAGAAACATTGCAAACGAAAATCAATTTATCCCATCAGCAGACATCATTTAAAGAAGATAAGAACCAAGAAGTGATAAAACAAAAACTAAGTGAAAAAGAACATGCACATCACTAAACACACCATCTCAAGCCTGTAAACAAACCTTAAACATGAAAACTTGCAGAAGCTATGAAACAATGCCACCAAGCAGAGACCCATAACAAACAGGATGTAATCTGGAATAAGAAACAGGAAGAGTCGGGCCACTGAATATGAAATGCAGAGCCTAGAGAGAGAGGCTCTAATCTGGGAGCTATATTGAGACCAAATGCTCAGAATCACTGCCCTGGGCAACCCTTCTGTCTCCAAAGCTCAACCGACAAGCTGGCCTCCCACAGAGCTGGATGGCCGCTAACCAGTAGTTACTGCCTTACCTACATTGTGGCTTCACATCACAGAATTAAAAATGAATGAGCCAAGGCCAGAGAAAGGAAGGTGGAAATAAAATACTTCAAGAGCTTTTTCTGCAGAAACAGTTTTAAAAGATCTACTGACGAGTAACTAAGAATAAAAACTTTAGTGTAGTGCCAAGACCATTCAGTGGGGAAGGACAGCCTTTTCAACAAATGGTGCTAAGAAAATGGATATCCACATTCAAAAGAATAAAGCTGGACCCTTACCTTACACCACAAACATGAACTCAAAACGGATCAAAGATCTAACTGTAAGAGCTAAAACTGTGTAACTCAGAAGAAAACTCAGAGGGAAAACTTCATGACATTGGATTTGGCAGTGAATTCTTAGCTGAAAACAAAGGCAACCAAAAAAAAAAAATAGATAAGGTGGATTACATCAAAATTAAAAACTTGTGCATCAAAGGACATAACCAACAGTATGAAAAAGTTTCTCAAAATATCAAAAATCAAATGACCGTGTGATCCAGCAATTCCACTTCGGGGTGCATTCCCAGATGACTGACAGCTGTGTCTCAAAGAGATGCTCTGTGCCCATGTTTATCATTCACAGCAGCCAGAGGGGAAGTAACCAACATGTACATCGATGGATGGATAAAAAAAATGCGGTATATCATCCAGTGGAATACTATTCAGCCTTAAAAAGGAAGGAAATTCTGACACCTGCTACCATGTGGATTGACCTTGAGAACACGACATAGGTGAAAATCACCCAGTCGCAGAAAGACAAGTACTGTGTGGTTCCACTATACGAGGTGCCTGAAGTAGTCAAGTTCATGGAGACAGAATAGGACGGTGGTTGCCAGGGACTAGGGGAGGGTCATTTGGGAGTTATTGTTTAGTGGGCACAGAATTTCAGTTTCATAAGATGAAATATGTCCTGTGGAGCTGGGTGGCGGTGGCGGCTGCACAAGGTGGATGTGCCTAATGCATTGCACCAAGCACTGGAGGTAAGTTTGAGGTGGTAAATTTTATACTATGTGTATTTTACCACAATTTTTAAAAGTGTGATAAGAAAAACAAAATGTGAGTGTAGGAGGAAACTGGAGACATTTTTATCTGTTCAGGCGAAGCATCCTGAGTGGTCTGTTCAGCCCTGGGCCTGGGCCCCTGCACGCCCTGCCTCTGTCCGGTTCGCTCCGGAGAGACAGAGCTCAGGAAGGAACCGTTTACAAGGTGTGGGCAGGGTTTAGAGGACCAGCTCTGGAAGGTGCAGAGCCCCAGGGTTGGAAAGAAATGCCTCATATTCACCCTCCCCTCCCTCAACCTGCTGCTCATGGGCTCACCAGGCAGTCCACTGATGCTGGTGAGAGAGAGAGAGAACAAAGCTTTGGACCTTGGCCTGCCGCCTTGGCCTGCTAAGTTCAGCACCACCTTCCAAGGGAGCACAGGCGTTTCCCCATCCAGAAACTTCCCCCAGTTTAGGAGGGCCTCACTAGGTAGGGTGCCTGGAGTTGTCTGCTGACATGCCTACTGTGAAGCTGGCATGGGAGCCCTTCCCAGGGGGCAGCGTCCGGGCACTGCCCGTGTGCAGGAGCACAGTGCACAGCACAGACCACCTTCGCCCTTGACCCCTCATTTCTACGCTCAGCCTTTCTCTCGCTCTCCCAGACTCAAAACCTCAGAGGCACCTTGAACCACCTCCCCAGGTTCCTGCTTTTCAGACGTTGCTGTCCAGGCTGGGAGCTCGGACTCTGCAAGGTTTCCTGCAACAGCCCAGCTTTTTCCTCCAGTGAAGACCCGGGTGGCAGCTGTTGCTTTTCCCTCTGGAAGTTCTGCCTGAAGCTCACGCCTTCCCCAGTTCCTGACAGACTTCCAAGGGTCAGCTGGGACTGGTCACTCCCTGCTCAAAACCCCTCATTTTAACTTATTTTAAGCTACATGCCAGGCACGAGGTTCAGCGATTTCCAGACGTGACTGTCTCTGGTGCCCAGAGTACCCCATGAAGCAGTTGTCATCACACTTCACTATCGTGACGACTGACGCCAGGAGTCCGCCGACCTCCCTCCCAGGGCCCCGCGTCAGGCAAGCACCCATGCCTGGGCCCACTGCTCCTCCTTGTTCCAGAGGAAGGACGGCCCAGCTGACCCGAGCATGCCATGCTGGCCACCTGCCCTGTAGTGCAGCCACACCGTTCTCCACTCGGCCTCATCTTGGGGCCAACACCCTCCTCTGAGTCCTACCCCCTCCTTTGAGGCTCTTGCCAGTCAAGACTGTCTCACAGGGCTCCTGACCCTCACCTCTAAACCCCAACATTCAGAAGCTCTCTTCCGACACTTCGGTCCACGGCCCCCAGCCGCTCCGGGCACAGCCGCTCCGGCCCCACCTGGAGCTCAGCGTCCTGACAGTGGGCCTCTGCTCCGGCTTTGTCTTGCTCACTACAGTTACTGCCCGCTCAGCAGCCAGATGGGTCTTTTACAAATGCAAGTCGTAAAAATGGCTAATATGGTAAATTTCATGTTGTTGTTTTTTTTACCACAATTAAAACATTTTTAATGATTAGTAATCTTTTAAAACAAATCAGATCATGTCACTCCTTGCATGGGGCCCTGTAAATGGGAGGCACTTACTAAGTAAGAGCTGAATTAATGGACGAATACAAAATGAAAACTGTGAAGCAATGACCATCTCTTTCCCATAGGACTTATAAATGTCACTAAACAATTGCAAAGAAAGCCCAAAACTGCTTTCAGGATGAGAACCCCATTGATATACTACAGAGCCCTCCAGCATTATTACCTCATGTTGATATATAAACATTACCATAAGAATTAATCTCATTTACTTATAAAATGCTTGAGAAAGTGTTTCCTAAAATTCTTCAACACCAAATCTCAAATCACCTGCTTCATCCCATTTCCTGAACGTATTCCTGAAAGATGGCTTTTAACATTTTTGGTACACAATCTAGCTTTACAGTAGTAAATAATATAAATAATACTTTATAATTCTAGACGTTTTAATCGAAACGTATTACTAGCCAAATTTATGTTAGATGCTTTGAAAAGCAGTAGCTGATGGTAACCACAGTTTTAAGGACCTAACAACGTAAACTGT